CATAAACATCCTGGGGGTACCAAGAAAGTCCTGCTCATTCACTGGGAATGTAATGCTGGAATGTTTTATTAGCTGGTTGGCTCTAAGCAAAACTCAAACTTGACATGGTATACTCACTTGAGTTGGACAATCTGTTCAAAGTACAGCCACTGCAGCTGTTGTTAAGGGCTTTTTGTCTCTCGATACTTTATCACCACAGAAACTGCCTCTGTTAAGGTGAGAATATCTAACAACCTAAGTGGTGCCTCATCATCTCACTAAGTAATCCCTTAATGAATTTGTTGACCAGGAAGTCCTTGTTATCTCTGAAGCATTATGCATTTTTCAGATGGGCCTCTTTTGCCTCATTGAAGTGCTTGATAGCATTAAGGGTTGGACTGTCTAAATTCAGGGTCAGGCTTTACATCAGCTGTTCCCAACTTCAGACAGTGATCTTCCTGAAATGCCTCAATAAATGATCCAAGTCCTCTTTTGCTGTACCCTTAAACATCAGGGGTGTGATATGCTTTGTCTTTATCACATAAGCTTCTCACCCATAGACTTTTGTCAAAAACTAGGCTGAGCCATTCTAAACTTCAGAGGTGTAATAGATTGGACTGGTGCAGATATCCTTACACTTGGATGAATGTCATATCCCTGCAGTTGGGTCTCATAATGTTGAGTTACTAAAAGTAGTATACCCATTGGCTCTGCACAACCCAGGCTTCTATATGACCCATAGTCATCCTGGCAGTATACCTCTCATTTTTTAGAAGCTCCCCACTATCCCACAGATCACCATCTCTATCAGTCTGTGCCTGCTGCCAAAGCAGTTTTCTACCAAAGGTATTTCCAGTCTTTCTCTGCCAGTTGTGGGTGGTATTGATCAGAGCCATAGTTGAACTATTCTGGCTGCCAAATTCTTGGTAGTTTGTAGAGGTTTTCCTATCCAGTTTCAAACTCACCAAACCTCACACCGCTGCAATGATGTACAACCTCCTGTTCACGTGGGTTAAACCTCATGAGAAGAACCTGATCAGCCATTCTGGGTTCATAACATTACAACAGTCTCCTTCCTGGATCTGTGACTGCAGAATTATGTGTGTCATGAACCTTTGCAGCATCAGCAACATTCTGATGCCTTCTCTTTGATCCAACAACCTGTGGAAGATGCCATTTCCTCAAGTGTAAAGCTTCAACTCTGGAACTCAAGAGTTCAGATAAGCTCAGGTAAATACACTCATCCAGAAAAAGAAATGTTCCACAATTGAAAATCCTGATCACATCACCAGATTTTCTCCTTTTTACCTACTCTTTTGTATTCTAAAATTCACTGATTTTCTTTACAATAATTAGATATGAATTGCAGGATAACTGGAATTTTGCCAAATAATATATTGCAGAGCAGAAATCTGACCTTTTTTTTTTTTACTTCAACTGAGTCTAACACAAAGAAAGAGACTGAACACTTGTATTCACACAATCCAATGATATTTATTCAAATCACAAAGCAAGCAAAGTTTAAGTGTGGTAAGTCTGAGAGGTACGTGATTTTAAGTTAGAGCTTTGTGAAAGCTCTCAACTGTGACGTTCAGTGTTAAAGTTATAAATTGTAGATGTAGTTGTAATGGTTCCAGACTGAGAAAACATAGCATTATATACTGACAACAACAATGCCATTCTTTTCAGAGAGCAAGCACTACTCACATGACTGGCAATCACTCTCACTTCAAAGTAAGGAATGTTATGTCCCTAGTATATCACTGAACTTGCCAACAGAAGAGATCACTCTTGCCTTTTTATTGAAGATGTGCTATATTACAGCAACCTTTCCTACTGGAGAGTATATGTGATACCCTTGTTAACTAACCTAGTTCCATGAATAAGTAGGATGAGAGAAACTTATTAACTCCTTTGACTGACTTTCTATGTTAAGACTAAAATACTCAATATACACAAAAATGTTTAAAAATTATTAAATTTGTGTATTTCAACTATTTTTGCCAAATAATGCAGAGGCAGTCAAATCATGCTTGTTTTCATTCAAAAATATCAGTGTCTCTTTATTATATATAAATAACTTATATAAGTGGTATTTAGGGCAAACAGAACAAAATTATTAAGATTTCAGACAAAATATTTCAAAATGCATGTGAGTATGGGTTTTATCTGTTTAGATTCATTTATAAATTAGGTTTGAGAAATAATGAAGCAAAATATTTCTAGACTAAAATAAAACATTGCTAAAGAATTTGAATATGTCTATTGTTTGTTCTTTGCAAAATAATCAGTAACAACATTTATCCAGAAAAGAAAATATGTTTTAATATTCAAGCTGTTTCACTATACAAAGCATTTTCTGTTCCAAATCACATTGCTACCTCATGTTCAGTTGCGTGTATATAGGTTAGACACCTTTTTAAAAAGTGCTCCTGTAGTAAAATGAAGCATTTTTATATACTAGATGGCTTATTTAACTCTACTGTAGTTACATTGATTTGAAAACATACCCAGTTATGTAAGATTAATATATGATATATTAAAATGCAGATGTTTCCTTCAAGTCCAGCAAAATAAAATAAAAAAGTGCACACAGCAGTGCTGCATGAAAAAATAATATTTTTGTTTGTTTATTTGGGTTTGTTAGCAGTTTTTATTCTAAATAGAAAGGTACATGCTGGAACCATGTACTCAATAGTACTTTCCATATAAAACATAAGTTATATAGACTTTTGCCTGCCATTGTGATCTAGTCAACTAACAAGTTCTGGTATTGATTGAAACAAAAGATAGATCTGAAGTATTATTCTTGGATGCTCTTGATTTAAAAATCCATAATGATCTAATCAAGAGGAAAGTAAAAATCTGCAGTGCGGCATGATATTTATCAACAAGTATTAGGCCTAATAGTTAAACTTTTTTAGCCTATTCTTATTAGACTGAATAATAATATGTTTGATTTTACATGAAACATGATATGTATTTGTATTGTAAATCAGCAATACACGCTGCTAAGTAAAAGTTAATTTTGTGATCACAATGGCACACCATACTTAAAAGTTTAGAAATTGATAATTTTCTTTAACTCAGGATTATATGTTCTTCAAATGTCATGAGTAGTCTTGAGTTTTAACAATAGGAACATTACAGATTGAAAATTTAGTTGCTATTCATATCAAAACACAAAACAAAGGCTGATATATTTTTATTCTGTTTTACAATTTATATGATGAACTGACATAGTTAAATTACGGCTTCTGTTTTTGAATGAGTACACTCACTATTATGAAGAAGCTTTGTTCATTATTGGCCATAGTGGGGATTTTAAAATAATTTGAATGGATGATTATGTCATGCTTATTTAATGCATGTCCGAATACACTCAGTCTGTTTGGTGCTCTTAAATTTGCATGTTCTTTTACAGGTATCTGCAGCCACCTTGTCGTTAATTCAATATAGTATTGTTTGTGACAAGGAATTATAAATTGATAAAGCACACTTGTTTACTGTAGAAGTTTGTTATTTTAAACACACTAAATGTCTACAGGATGATATTCTGTCTCAATATGTCAAATAATCCTGCAATGGTAATTAAACCTTAATTGCGTGTGTTCAGATACACTGTGAAGGAGGGTACATAGTTGTTTTTTGTTATACCTGTTTATCAATATAAGACAAAGATATAGACATTGAATATTTATGTACTTCATACTTTAGCAGTTTTATGAATTTAATTTTGTATAAATAATCATGAATTAGATTATTCTGTTTACCAAGCTGGTAGGAAAACCACTCAGGGTGTTATCACATTTTTTTATTCAGGAATTTGTTAAGTACTTGAGATTTTATGTGCATGATAAATTATGATCTTCATTAATGTTTTCCTTGCATTCTATCTGTAAATAGCTTAAAAAGTTGAAGTACAAGTCAGTAAATGTTTTCATGGTAAACTACACACTCAAAGTTACCATGACAATTATGGACCAGTGTATCTGAAAAAACAAGTGATCTTTAGTGTTATTCTGTGAATTAAATGCTTATTATTTAGACATTTTAAGAATTGATGAATATGATCAGAATAAAGATGGTAAAGGTGTCTTTACCTTTTGTGTATGTGTAAAAACTGTTCATAGTTTAGATGATAATTTTTAAACTTTAACTTATTAGTTCTACTTACACTTTCATTTCACTCAGTGAGTAACTTGAATAATTAAAGATTACAATAAAGTATCATTAACTTGATATCTTACATTAGTTAATTTGATCAAATGATTTTTGACTTTTATTGTCCCCAAAATCTTATTATTTTGTGTGTTTATAAAAGTTTGAAAATTTAAATTAGTGAATTGTTGTCTCAGTAAGTCAGTACACTTGATCTGTTTGATGCCCTTAGATTTGTTGTTTAATCTTGTGGCAGATGTTATATAGACTTATTTGAAATTTTGAAGTGTATTAGTAATTGGCATTAAAATAGAAACAATAGCTAAAACACATGTCTAATACGTAGGATTGAATTATTATGTGGTGAATTGATTTACTTTCTTACTCTATGTTAGTCATGTTGTTATAAAGATTACCTAATAGTAAATATTTTTTTTATTATAGTTTTTAATATTGAAAATCAGTTTTTCTAATTGATTTGTGTTTTGAAAAATTTCATCCGGTGTAAAAATTTAAAATTTCTAAAAGCACTTATGATCTATTATCACTTTTCATTTTTAGCAAGATATATATTTACTGGAAAATAATTCATATTGCTTAAAAAAAGGCTCAAGTATATTGTGGATATTCTATTTTTACTATTTCTTTCATGTATGATTAAATTTAGTAACTGAAACATTCCAGTTACTTGCAAAGTATTAATTTATTTGGATGATATTTATCATTATGTTTATGATAATACTCATTGTGAGTTAAACAGTTCACAGAACAGCTTTTCAGTTTTCATAGTTTTGTTAAATATTCTGTGGATATTGGAAATGATTTAATTGGTATGAAATATACATATGTATTTCTTACAGGAAGTAACTTTACAGGTTAGTAAGTCAGATGTCTTGCTCATTACAAAGGAGATAAGTTCTCAACTTTTCTGTGCTTTGATCCAACAAAATGTGGAAAAAATTGACAGGATTCGTCTAGTTGCTGGAACAGCTTTTAGCACCCTTCTACACAGGTAGGATGCTCATTACTTCTTATAAGGTGTTTTGTGCTTTATTTTTGATCATTAGTATAAATTATACATGCAACTTTACTTTGTGTATTTTTCTGTTGGTGTTTCTTTCTTTCTACACCTGTGTATACTTTTACACTCACTTAAACAGAAAAGTATGGAATGCTTTGCAAACAAGGTATCATCAAGTAAGTTGTTCTCATACCTTTTTCTTTTTTCTTCCTTTTGTGGCATAAATATCTCTTTCTCTGAGTATAATTTGGAAACCAACAGAAGTGTGTCTATATATCTGTATTTGAAGAATATAGGCATAAATTAGGGTATTTCAAATATAAGTATATTAGACCATCTCTTAAAACTAGAATTTAATTTGAAAATTTTTCAAAGAAAAACCACTCTTGAAAAATTATTTTTTATTTGTTTGGAATGTTGTTAAAGTGAATCTTTTGTTTTTTTATAGAAATAACTTAAATTAAAAATTAACAATCTGAATAAATTATAACAACTTTGAATTAATAGAAGAATCCCAAAGTCCAGTGAGTCAACCTGTATAAAAGGATCAAAGATTAACAGTCATAAACACTTACTAATATTTATTTGGGCATAGTCATTTATCCAGAAATCAGTATCTTCTCTAAGTTAGTACCTTATGATGTTAGTTTAAATATGCCAGATTTTCTCATAGAAAAGTGTTTCAGTTAATATATTTGATCTGGAATGAGAAAACATGCAGGCAAATCTTCCATAATACAAGATACCCATTAAACACAATCTTTGAAGAGTGTACTTGCATTAAGTTTTGTTTTTTCAAACATAAATAACGGCTTGGTAGCATTTTTCTTTGTTTCCCATGAGCTGATTGTTTTCTCTAATTACAATGTAATGAATACTTCATTCAGATGTCTACAGCTTACTTGGTATGGTGAAATTACAAAGGATGTACCATTTGAGAGGTGTTGACTCACAAAGGAGTCACTGTCTTAATGTCAGAACACAACATATATCATCTTTTTCTTTATACAAGGGAACATAAAAATAGAAAGAGAATATTATTGAAAACGTATTCTGACTAGCATCACTCTTTAACTACTAATTGCTATTTAAATAGTAAATTTCTGAAAGTTTTTCTGTTTTTTTACTGTATTGAAGGTCACTTTTAAAGGGTTTGTTTAACCCTATCTATATGGATTTTGTTACAGTTAGGGGTCAGAGGGCATGTTATCACATTTGTAAACTTACATGTAACATTTTTTTTGAACTGCTATTTTGTGAAGTTGTATTGAGAAAGAATAAACTAGTTTTATTTAAGAAAGGACTTGTATCGCTGAAGTTTCTGGGAAAGAATTTCTACGGAAAATTAACAAATGACCAGAGACGTAACAAATTGGTGTCAGGAGTTGGATGGAAAAAAAAAAAAAAAGAAGAAGATGGAAACGAGAGGTGGCAAATCAAACTACAGCTTAGCAGATTTGATGGCAACAACACAAGAATGAGAAAAGAAACAAGAAGAGAGACAACAGCAGTTGCAAGAAAACCTGCAACAGTGGCAGCTCGAACAGCAAACAAATAAGAAGAACGAGAAAAGAAACAAGAAGAGAGACAACAGCATTTGCAAGAAAACCTGCGACAGTGG